TGCATGGGATGATTGTTATGAGGAGGACTTGAAGGTGGAGGAGGGTTAGAATCAGATGATGAGAAGTGAGAGTTGAGTGTTGGCATTAAAGGAATTAGAAGGAGTTGACTCATATTGGGAGGATGGTTGATGAGCAACTTGATGATCAGTGTTAAACTGAGGTGTAGTAGATGAAGATGTAGGAATGGATGAAGGATTGGAAGAAGAATTTGAACTGGTAGAATTGGATGTGGGACTGGTACTGGCACCATTGTCAGAGTGGAATGGAGATGAATAGGAAGGAGAGTGAATTGCTATTAGGGCTGATAAGGAAACTGGGACACTAGGAGTTGAACTAGATGTGGATGGAAAAAGAGTTGTGTAAGGAAATTTGGTTTCATCAAAAATAACATCCCTGGAAAGATAAATTCTGCCACATGGAGAGAAACATTTGTAGCCTTTGTGATGAGAAGAGTATCCCAGAAAAACACATTCCTTGGAATGGTAGTCCATTTTATGTTTATTGTAAGGTCTAATGAAAGGATAGCAAGAGCAACCAAAAACTTTGAGAAAGGTATATTCAAGAATAGTACCATAAAGTTTGAAATGTGGACTGAGATTTGCAATAGATTTAGAGGGAAGTTTGTTGATAAGATGTACAGCAGTGGCAAAAGCAGTGTCCCAGAATTTGAAAGGCAAAGAAGAATGTGCTAGGAGACATAGACCTTTCTCAACAATGGTGCGATATTTCCTCTCAACAACACCATTTTGATGGTGTGTATGAGGACAAATAACTCTATGATTAATACCTTTTTCAGTAAGAAACTTTGTGAATGATCTGAATTCTCCTCCCCAATCAGATTGGATTGACTTAATGGAAATGTTAAACTGATTTAGGATGTATTGATGGAAGTTTTGAAAAGCTAAGAAGGCATCTGATTTCTTTTTGAGAAAGTAGATCCAGGTATATTTGGTGAATACATCAATAAAGGATATATAGTAAGTGTAGCCATCAAAGGACTGAATAGGAGTTGGGCCCCAAAAGTCAGTATAAATCAGTTCAAAAGGAGAATGAAAAACAGTTGTAGATGGGTAAGAGGGTAGTCTGTGAGCTTTACCCAAACAACATGCAGAACAAAAGTCAATAGCATTTTTATTGATATATGGAAGATTACAAAGATTCAGTACAGACTTAAGGGTCTCAAAATGAGGATGTCCTAGTCTTAAATGTCAAATATTACAACTGGAATCTGACTGAGAGTTATTACAAGTAGATACAAGAGAACTAGGAAACACAGATTTATGAGAATGGAACTTGGACAAATTTGAAGTAGAGTTGTGAGACACAAGAGCTGGAAAGGATTGAAATTTGTAAAGACCATCTTGACCAAGTATTCCATACAGCAGAACCTGTTTAGAAACCTGGGATTTAACAAAACATTCATGAGGATAAAATTCAAAAAATGCATTGTTATCCTTGGCAAATTGGCTGACACTTAATAGATTTTTGGTTATAGCAGGAACATGTAAGATATTATTGAGAGATAAAGAAAGAGATGATTGATAGGGTGAGGGAAAGGATGAAAAATCAATGATGGGCGAAGATTGATTAGCAATGTGAGAAGATGATTGCGAAGAAGAAGAAGAATCAGACGCAGAGTTCGTCATGGTTAGATCGAGCAATGCTCTGATACCATAATAGAAATGAAGCAAGGTAGAAGCAGAAATGAAACCATCTTAATTAGAATATGATATTACAGAGTATTTATACAAGTTGCTAGCACAACTAGCATAACCAAAGCCTAACAGAAAGCAGTTACATTGCTTTTATAAAGAATACACGTGTAGTTTTCCTACACTATTCCTAACACATGTCAACACTTCCAGAAAGCCCCGTCAGGCCAGCGGTCAACTATGCCCCCATCAGCACATCTATACCCTTCGCTAGATGGGGTATAGACCTTGTGGGCCCTCTGCCGAGGGGTACCTCCAACAACAGGTACATCATCGTTGTCATTGACTACTTCACCAAGTGGGTGGAGGCTGAGGCCCTCGCCAGCATTACCGAGGCCAAGTGCCGCCACTTCGTCCTAAAGAGCATTCTCACAAGGTTTGGCGTCCCCCAACAAATCATCTCCGACAACGGAAGTACGGAACCCAATTTGAGGGCATGGGGCATCAAGCACACCTTCTCATCCGTTGTTTACCCCCAAGGTAACGGTCAAGTGGAGAATGCCAACCGGACATTACTTGAGGGCCTTAAAAAGAAGCTGGAGGACGAAGGGGGAGGCTGGGTAGAAGAACTCCACAATATCCTATGGGCCTACCGCACCACCCCTCGGCGGGCAACAGGTGAAACACCCTTCTCCCTGTGCTATGGATTTGAGACTAAAGCTCCCACTGAAGTGACCCTTCCTACCCGAAGGGTAGCCCAATATGATCCCGAAGTCAACGACGCCAACATGGCCCTCGACCTTCACCTCATCTCAGAACGCCGAGAGCAAGCCTTCATGCGGTCGGAGAACTACCGAAGGCAGGTCAAGAGCTACATCGACGCCAAAGTCCGCTCTCAAGAATTCCAAGTGGGGGATTTCGTCCTACGACGAAGGGAGGCAAACCACCCAACCGAGGGCGGCAAAATGGCTCCTAAGTTTGAAGGCCCTTACATTGTGGCAGCTATCATCAAGCCTGGGACTTACAAACTCAAACGCCCCAATGGGACAGAGGTGTCCCTAGGCATTGGAATGTACATCACCTAGTTAAATTTTATCAGTAATGTTAGAGCGGTCAAGCCCTCATAACTAATGAATGTATTATCCTACGGCCCAAGGCCTTCAAATTCGAAGAATGAAGACGTATCGAAGACACCAAAAACAAGAAACAAGACTCTTATGAGCGGCCAAGCCCTCACAACAAGCTCCCGGCCCAAGGCCTCATAATTATTGATGTCTTGTCTACCTTTCCTCTCTTGTTTCTTTTATCGTTTATCTTCCTTATATTTTTATATTCTTATGTTATTTTTATCTTCTAGCTTTTTTATGCTCTTTTATTTATTTTTCTTTTATCTTGGTTATATTCTTGTGTTATTGTTATCTTATATTTATGTATCTTTATTTTATTCATTTTATCTTTCTTTTTTTCCTTTTCTTGTCCGCCTTCTCTTTTTGGCATCGATATCATAGATCGATTCATGTTAGCCGACCCCAAATTCTTTTGGGATTAAGGCTTGGTTGTTGTTGTTGTTGTTGTTGTTGTATAAATAGCACTCATTTCCCTATTTGTAATCCATGTTCAATACGCTCAATACATTCTCAGCAATACATATTGTCTCTCTTACTTTTGCTCTGACTTCTCTCTAGTTATTCCCCGTAGTAACCCCTCGGATAGATACCCCCGAGTACACTTATCCATAACTAAGCTACAGGACTCACAACTCACAAGAGATGTGAAAAGACAGAAGACATGTTTTCTATTTATCAGCAATTTTTAACCAAAAACTTACTTATATGATTGAGCGTGCAAAATTTGATGTCAATAAAAAAAGTATGGGTAAACGTACTTTTTGGCTGAAGTTGGTGAAGATGACCATTTTATCCTTTTTCATATAGTAACTTTTTGTGTTATCAAATAGTAGTAATATACTAAATATATTTAAAGTAAAGTTTTTTGAGATTTTTCCTAACACGTTACAACAACAACATCCAAGCCTTAGTCTCAAAAGAGTTTGGGGTTGGCTAACATGAATCGACACATGAAATCAGAGCTAAAAAGGATAAAAAGATAAGATAAAATAAAAACGATAAAAAAACATAAAAAAGATAAGATAAAGATCAAAACAAAAAAGAAGTTAAGAAAGATGAAAAAGAAAAAAGATAAAAAGATACAATGAGATCAATCCTCCACAATTAAACCCTCCTCCACTTCGCTCTCTCTAAAGTCACACTCTCAGCCAACCCAAGAAGTAACATGAGTATACATTCATGGTCAGTGTTGTGCACAAATTATAAACAATAATAGTCATCAAAAGTTATTACTAGGGTTGGGCAAAATGGTTTGGAACTGAATCGAACCAAACCAAATCGAAAATTTGTACTTTGGTTAGGTTTCGGTTTACTTGAGTAAACCGTTTGGTAACAATTTGCTCAAACCGAATGGTTTGGTTTGGTTTGATTTTAAACCAAAAAATCATAAACTTAACCGAACACCTAACTTGTAATATTTATAAAAATAATTTGTATTTGTCTTCACTCTTCATCTTTAGGATATAAATAAATAATACAGATATGAAAAGTACATAAATACTACATAATATTTTATTATTTCTTTTTTATGTCTTTTATTTCTCTTTACATTTTATTTAAATAACAAATACAAGAAGATGCAATGGACGACTATTTTCATTTTCTAATTCTAAAATATAGAACTTGATCAAATAAAATAATAAACATATGAAGCTAATCAAATCGAACTAAACTATCATCATTATCATTTACCCCAGTGCCGCAAAGGCTCCCACCTACGATGGGGGTAAGGGGGGTCAGATGTACGCAGTCTTACCCTTGTCCTAAAGCGCAGAGAGACTGTTTACGGACAAATCGAACTAAATTCAACCTAATAATTTTCACTTTGGTAAACCGAAACCAAATCTAAACACAAATGATTTTAGTGGTACAATATCTCCCAAACCGAATAAACCGAAACTAACCTGAAAGGCTGAAACTGATGAAAACCGAACCGTAAACCGAATTGCCCACCCCTAGTTACTACTGTGGTCACTACATATAAAATGTCACATTTTTGTAAACTATCCTTATATTTCAAAGTGTTTCCACAATTAGCATAGCCATCGTAATCACCCAGCAATTCCAGCCACAATCACTACACCAAATGGGCTCTTAGTCTGGGATACTGAAGTGTTTCCATTAGTATCAACTATCAAGTTAGAAACTAATTAGATGATAAAACACAGTTCAATAATAATAATAACAGTATTGCCTTATCAGGTTAAAAGTCAGACATACAAAATTTGCAGCATACCCCTTCCAGCCCAATATCCCAATACCTGCACCAATTAATATTCAAGATCTTGGGTCAGGGAATGTGGACTTCTTAATGTCAAAGGCAGCAGGCAACAAATATCAGATTGACAACAAAACATGGTAGATGTACACTTGTTGATTAATTCTCAGATGGTTCTACAATATCATAGATCGTCTTGGAAAGAAAATTGATTGCGTACTCCAATTTTTGATTTTTTAAGAGACACACTTATCAACCTTTCAATCCAAGATGGTATGATCTGATTCATCACACATAACGACTGGGAGCAACAACATATATATACTTCCGGTTCTTATTTTCATCATTCATACTTTCACATTTGAAAACCAGTTAGGGAAGCTACATTACCTACATATCACAATAAGGAAACAGAAACTAAATAAAGGAAACAGAATAATATAAACATCTCAAGAACAAAGTAGGTAGCAAGACTGACATTCCTCCGTTTATTTTTACTTGCTACTTCTCCTTTATATTGAAATTACAAATTTATCAAAAGATTTTTACTTTGCAACACCCGTCCTTTGTTTCGAACTTACTAATTCATCAAAAGATATAAACGCCCTTACATTTTCATCATCTATTTCTTGCTTTATACTTTTTCATTTTCTATTTGCCACTTTCCCTTATTTTCCCTCCTACTTTTTCATGCCTTATACACTATTCACTACCCTAAGATTTTAACCTTAAAATATATAGAGGGAGTATGCAAGAAAAACATTATAAATTAGTGATTGTTTAGTAAGGACCACAAATGTCATCACTGGATTGATCTTCTTCATCATCACCTTAATTTGAATTACGTTGAGAGTTGACAGAGTCAAATATGTAATGTCAACAAGTTGTGCTCAATTAGTTTTAGCTATTAACTAAAGCAAAAGAATCAAACAAAAACCAGGCTAAGTTTTAAGGGAGAATGGTGGAGTGGTGGACTGAAGATATCCATAGGATTGTTATTCGCAATTAGAAAATGGCCGAATTCCGGATATGAAATGCTAAAAAATGGCAAACCTTCCAAAACTTGATGAAGAACCCCCATTCCGTTTCAGCAAGGACAACAGTAATTGCAATCACAACGGCATAACACCGAAAAATTCCATCAAACACCTGATATATTTGTAAATCACAGTAAGCATTTCCCTTGTTCGTATCAAGGAGAAAAAAATTGGATGTTCAGAGACAAAACAGGGATTATTACATCATAACCATTCTTGAAGGATCGGAAGGCGGAGTAAGCATTGACCGCAATGCAGAAAATTGCCGCAAGAGAAGTCACGAAGCTGAAAACTTTACACGTCACAAGGAACGAGTCTCCCCGGGCACGAAACCGGGTCGGAGATGAGACCGGCGGCGGTTGCTCTCCGCGCCTCGGAAGGGAACTCTCACCTACCTCCCCCTTCTTCGACATCTTGAGACACTTTTTCGAGTTCCGGTATGGCTATGACTTATGAGCGTCCGTAGCTGCTTAGAAGAGCGAAGAGTCGAGCTTGGCAGATGCCTGCAGGGGTCACTGTGAAGGATGACTGTCCGAATCATAAAATATCACCGGTCATTGTTGTAGGGAGAAAAGGTCAAATAAACAAGGCCTCTGCTATTATTAAATAAAGGTCATATAAGTACATCTACGGCTAAAAAGCAAATAAATGAGTTTTAATGACCTATTTAATACCTCTTAATCCCGTTTTTAACGTACTTCTGACCATCTTTTTAGAATACATTATACGGCATACGTCGAATATTTAACTAAGATTGGTTGAAATACAAGTAAAAAAAAATCGACATGTAAGCTAAAATCAGGATTAGAAGGTGTTAAATAAGCCGTTATGACTCATTTGATTGTTTTATACAAGTAGAGATACTTATATGACACTTTATTGAGTGCATGGCTTTATGTGACTATTTCGTAATAGTAGAAGGTCTTATTTGACCATTTCCTTTTCTTTTATGTGGTTCTGCCGAGCAATTCCTCTATTAAGCTTCCAAATCATCCAATTGAGTTCACTAAGTTACCAAAAACACCCAATTAGGCTTTTTTGCAGGTGGACAACCGGTTAGCCCGTTATTGGCTGACATGGATTCCAACATGGCCCTCCCTTACCTCACAACTTAAGTTGACGTTGTTATTCCCCACTAAAGCCTAACCCTTGGTCAAATCCCCCAAATTCCCACCCGTTATCAAATTGACCTAACCTCCTCCCAGTTTGAAAATTACCTAAAAGATGACTGCAAAGAGAAGGTAGTTAGAACGCGGGAGTGGAATCCAAGTGCTGCAAATTGATCTAACCTCCTCCGAGTTCAAATCATAATTCCACACCCATGACAGAAAATGTTTCAGGAATGGAAGATATACAAACTCCTCAGCATGGGCTTGACAGTGATGCTGAGGAAGATAGTACATAATAGGGAGAAGATGATGAACCTTCGTCCAAAAGGCCACCTAATGGGAATGGTTCATATAACCCAGAATTTGATCCTCCCCATTTCAAGGTGGGATATTGTTTGAGGATGGTAAGCAATTTAAAAGTGCTATGATTAGATATGTTGTGTATCACAAGAGAGATATAGTCTTTGTTAAGAATGAGCCCGTGAGGAGTCACACTTAAGTGTGCCATAAATTGCCCTTTTTCAAGTACTGTTACTTGGGAAGATAGGTTGAAATGCTTTCAATTGAAATTTTGGAACCCAGACCATCTATGCAACTTAAAATCCAAGCTTAGAATAGTAAGTCAGAATTGGATAGCTAAAACTTATGAGGATAAGTTGGAAGAAAACCCCTACATGGGTGTTGTAGACCTAAAAAACTTGCTTAAGGCTGAACATAAATTGAGTGTGTCCATTAGTATGGCTACAAGAGCATTAAAAATTATGCAAGACAAAACCCAATTTGCTTTTAAGGACCAGTTCATGAAAATCGGGAATTATGGAGAGGAAGTTTTGAGATCAATTCCAAATAGTACAGTGGTGATTAAAACTGACAGAGTAGACACTGAAGCTCCAAGGTGTTTCAACGCATTTATATGTCTTTTGAATTGGACCTGTTAAGAAGGGTTTTTTGAAAAGCTGTAGAAAGGTGATTGGTTTGGATGGTTGCTTCCTAAACCAATGTTGTGGGAAGAGATGCGAATAATCAAATGTACTCAATTGTTTGGGCAGTAGTAAAGATAGAAAATAATTCATCATGGAGTTGGTTTTTAATGCTTTTGAGGGAAGAATGTATAAGGTCCACAGTTTTTAAGGTTCAGAGGTATGTTATATAATCTGATTTGTTTATGGATTGGGCAATGGTATAGGCTTTTAGATTTGAACATTTTCATAGTTTTTCAATCAGCTAGGTAAAAGATATTTGCCGATCTGCATATCCATTTCAATCAGCTATTATTCAGTGTACAATAATGCAAGGATAATGATAATTATAATAACTTCTTGTCAATGTGGTGCACTACAAAGCCACAAACCAAGTGTATTGGTGTTCATTGGTGTTCATTGGTGTTCATTGGTGTAGCAAGAATGCAGTGTGGTTTCTGTGGTATTCCATGACCCATGTGTTCAAGTTTGTGTTCATAAATTACTTTCATTCAAAACATGCACATATAATTCCATGGCATAAAACAAACAACATATTCTAATACTGAAATACATACTTCCTACTAAATCAATAATTCCAACAACATTGTGGCATTTAGGGGTGCAAATGAGCCGAGTCGCTCGTGAGCTGCTCGATCAAAGCTCGAATCGAGTTCGGTCAAACTCGAGCTCGAGCCGAGTTCGAGCCGGCTCGTTAAGCGGTCGAGCCATAAACGAGCCTATTAATTTTAGGCTCGCTAACTCGCGAGCCTAGTTTTATATGTGTGTATATTTATATATTTAATACTACCTCTGTCCCGCAAAGAAGTTCTCACTTTCCTTTTTTGGATGTCCCAAAAAGAAGTTCTCATTTCTATAAAAGGAAACCACTTTTAACCAAAAAGTCACAACTACCCTTACTTTTTACCCACTTTTTGTTTGATTTGACATAAAGTAAGGGTATACTTGGAAATTCAAAACACAACTCTACCTTACATAAATATATGTGTAGGTCAAACTAGGAACTTCTTTACGGGACGGAGGGAGTATATACATATATAATAGTCCCTCCATTCTTTATTAACTATCTCATATTCCTTTTTGGAACGTTTTTAATTATTTGTATCTCTTTCCTTTTTCTGTAATTTTTTTCAATCAAAATACATTTATACCTCAACTTTTATTACCATTGCCTGTTTCTTTTTCCTACTTTTTCATTCACCCACAACCCACTACACCTTTTACACTACCCATATTATTTTCCTATTAAAACCCGTGCCAAAGCCTAAGAGGACAAATAATAAAGAACGGGGGGAGTATTAATTTTTCCATCATTTGCAATGGAGCCAAAGATTCATTATTTTTTGGCTTGAGATTATAATGGAATAAAGCAAAATGGCTCACTAAACTGTATGCGCTTCTTTGTTATGAAGCAGCAGTCGGTCCATTCAGTTTTGGACGGGATTTTCACTATGGGTCATCCGGAAACAGTCTCTCTGTGATTTAGTACAGGGGTAAGACTGCGTACATCCGACCCCCCTTACCCCACCGTAGGTGGGAGCCTTTGTGGCATTGGGGTAAATGAAAATGAAAATGAATATATAATATTAATATAGATTAGTATATAATTTATATAATATAACTTTATATATATATAATACCAATTGGTAAATGTATATGAGGATCAGGGAGATATTATATTTTCCGTTCCCGTAACTCTAGTTTCAGTTCAATCATCATGGTCTGATCATTTTTATTTATTTTGGACAACATTTACTCTACTTTTAGTTATTAGGCATGTAAATTTCAATTTGCAAATACTAAGCACAAATATTCAAAGATTGTTTCATACTTGAGCTCGAGTTCGAACCCGAACTTTCGAGCTAATCGAACTTGAACATTCGAGTTGACGAACCAAAATTATCAAGCCGAGTCGAGCCGAATCGAGCCATGTCAATATTTGCGAGTCGAGCTCAAGCCCGGATTTTTTGAGCTCGTTCGAACCGAGCTCGAGCTCGAGTCAATACAATATATTTCGAGCTCGAGCTCGATCCTACATAAACTCGGGCTCGGCTCGGCTCATTTGCACCCCTAGTGGCATTACAAACCCATTACACAACTAAGAGAGTGAAAGACAATGCAAATGACCAACACATAGATTTTTGTTATTGCAAACCATGCTTACATACTGAAATAGATACGTCCTACTAAAGCACGAAGTACAATCATACTTAAACCAAACAACTTCCTACACTTTTTGTTCACATTCGCCTCATTCTCAACCACACTCTTGACACAACAAAGCTCTGTCGGTACATTTGATAACTACTGGACAAGTCCTTCGACCAATTTTTTCAATTCATCTGTGATTTCCATCTTCTCTTCAGCCCCCACAGGTTCTTTCTTGTCTTCATCCCTGACAATTTCATTTTTTCCTACATCTTCCTTCCATAAGAAAAATCTGCAATTGCCAACCTGCACACATTCATAGCCTACAGACAAAGCATTATGCAAATATGCGGTCATTCATTTCATAAGCAATGCTTATTTTAGTAAGCTTGTATCTTTGCCACCTCTACTTTCCTACACCATCTAATATGAATTTTGGTCTCTTGAACACTTAAGAATAAATAACTCCTATTTCCCCCTTCAAAAAAAAAAAACTAGGTTGTCTTCACATAAAGGCGGCAGACAACTACAGCAACAAACCAAAATTGTCATCTTTCTAAACAACTCCTAGTTCTTTCATTTTTGTGTAGGTGTGTACATGATAATGTATGCAAGCAATACATAAGGCAACACAGTGTAATTCAAAGCGACACACCCAAATATAACTTACCTTCCATTTTTGACAACCATAAATTGGTCTTCCACTCTCTCGTCCAACTCATAGAGGAGCTTTCGATCCACACCAACAATAAACAGCAGGCTCATAGTCCATAGTACGGTTTCGTTCTTTTACAATCGGTGATGATGATGAAGACGACATTCTTGCGAAGAAGAAGCACACAGTCGTCGGGAGGAGGTTAGGTCAATTTGATAACGGGTAAGTGATAACGGGTGGGAATTTGGGGGATTTGACCAAGGGTTAGGCTTTAATGGGGAATAACCACGTCAACTTAAGTTGCCGGGTAAGGGAGGGCCACGTTGGAGTCCATGTCAGCCAATAACGAGCTAATCGGCTATCCACCGCCTAAAAAGCCTAATTAGTTATTTTTGGTAACTACACGGACTCAATTGGGTGATTTTGAAGTAAGAGTGTTTCATTGAGGATATGGTCAAAGTACGAGGGTCTATTTGAGAGTTTTCTCTATTTCTAATTATGTTATTTTATTTCACTTTTACATCGTGATTATTCTGTCCCATATATCCCAGGAGAGAGGCAAAACATATTCTGGTTGCTATTTCTCGTCACTGCTAGAAGAGAGCTCCAACTCTCTTCTAGGGAAGGGGGTTCCATGCCCAGGATTGAAC